CAGTCCCCAGCAGCTGTGCGGAGCTTCAGGAGTAGGGGTCGCCGGGGAACAGGGGTGGCGAGTGGCGAACCTCCACCGCTTTGTAAGGAGGCAAGGGAAGCCCCGCGCAGCTGCTGGTGACCAGCCAGCTGGGGAAACCCAGCTGCTGGCTGCAAGAGGGGGGTGGAGGAGAGGGAGCGAAGCATCCGGCCAGAGGAGGTCACCGGGGAATGGCATGGTGAGCAGCGAACTTCTGCCGTTTTTCAGGAGGCAGGGGAAGCCCCCACAGCTGCCGGCAACCTGCTGGCTGTAAGGGGAAGCTGTGTTTTTGCGGTGATGGGTCGAATTGTTCAAAAAATGTTCCCTTAAAAAAAATCATGCTATTGCGAAAACGTGTTAAGTGGGCACGTGTTAAGCAAGGCATTACTGTATAGCTTCAGCTGTAGCGCTCACTTGTTCTTATCGCTTGCTATACAAGGTCTTAGTGCCATTGCATGGGACAGTGAACCACACTCACTAGGTGAGTGGGTTATACATGTGTGCATACCCAAAAGGCTGGTCCCAGGTTATCAAAGAATGCATGTGAATCCTGTCCCCTACAAGCTGAGCCCCCGTGTTGGGGACCGTGAGATTGATAGCACACAGCAAGAGGCTCCCCCTATGCACAGAGTCCTTAGCAGAGGCCAGGATTGAGCCATACAACTTCAATTAAAACAACAACAACAACAGAGTTTTCACCCTAGCAAGGGACTAGCCTTTTCCCCCGTCCCACTTTATATTTTGATTCACTGTGCTGCTTAATTCTTCTAACTGATTCTGTCTTCTTAGAGCCATACTAACAGTCAATATAGGCACAGCAACCAGCTAAATAAAGCCAGGCTGCAGTGACAATGAAGGCCACGGGCCTACTGGCAATATGCTTGCCAGCCAGCTTCACAAGATTCCAGCACAGCAACGCTATGTTCCTTTCCAATAATCCAGTGGTTCTCAACTCGTTTCAGTCCACGGACCACCAGACCAATCAAAAATTTTTCATGGACCACCGCCTTTTTGAGCCATGATAATAAAGAGCAGACAAGGAACATTTTGGTTTGAAATTTATTTCTTACTAACAGATTTTTGGTGCCTGCCCACGCCGTGTGACTTTGGACAATGTTCCTGTGGACCACTGAAAAAGTCACCCTGGACCACCAGTTGAGATCCACAGCAGTAAGCTAACATGACTAGACTTAGCACACTAGTGTTTTAGGCCAAGCTAATGGTATAACAAATGTGATGGAGCCTTTTATGTTTCACAAATGGCAAATCTAAATCAATACAGCTTTCCCGAGAGTCCTATATTTGCTGTTACTCACGGTACTGCTAGTCTTGTTTTTTAGGGTTTGCCCTTCCTGGTGTTGTGCCAACCCTACATAGGGTTACACGAATGCTGGACGGCTGCCTTGAAGGAGCCAGAAATGTAGCCGTGTTAGTCTGGGGTAGTTGAAGCAAAATGCAGGACAATGTAGCACTTTAAAGACTAACAAGATGGTTTATTAGATGATGAGCTTTCGTGGGCCAGACCCACTTCCTCAGATCAAATAGTGGAAGAAAGTAGTCACAACCATATATACCAAAGGATACAATTAAAAAAAAGAACAAATATGAAAAGGACAAATCACATTGCAGAACAGAAGGAGGAGGCGGGGGGGTGGGAAGGGGGAGGAAGGAAGGTAAGTGTCTGTGAATTGATGATATTAGAGGTAGGGAGAGTGGGATGTTTGTGAGTTAATGGTATTACAGGTGATAATTGGGGAAACTGTCTTGATAATGGGTGAGAAAGTTCAAAGACTTGTTAAGTCCCTGGTGGTAAGTGTCGAATTTTAACATGAATGACAGTTCAGAGGATTCCCTTTCAAGTGCAGATGTAAAAGGTCTTTGTAGCAGAATGCAGGTGGCTAAGTCATTTAGAGAGTGTCCTTTCTGGTTAAAGTGGCAAGAAACTGTTTTCTCTTTGTGATCTTGTCTGATATCGAAGTGGGTCTGGCCCACGAAAGCTCATCATCTAATAAACCATCTTGTTAGTCTTTAAAGTGCTACATTGTCCTGCATTTTGCTTGAAGGAGCCAGGCAGTGTTAGAAGCCTAAATGAATTTAGTAGCGAATAATAGATACTTGGACTAGTCATGCAAATATTTTAAAATGATAAAATATACACCTTTGAAGTGTCTCATTCATTTAATTCAAAATCAGCTGTCCTTTTAAATGGAATTGGTCATTTCATAGTGGCAAACTAATTATTAATAGTAATATTCCAAGTACTGCCCTCAGTTATATCAGTAGAACCCCTCTGATGAAATTTCCCAGAGCAGAAGTTGGCTCCCTTTTCAGGAAACGATACAAATACCCTATAATGTGGGCATTTCACAAGCACCCAGCATTGCCTCAGTTCTGTGCCCACTATAGGGGGCTCATGTGCAACATGCAAAAAGTCCACCCTGTATGGATTTGAGCCTTTGGGCACAGCCATGAGCAAAGGTGTTACCTCTTCCCAGTAGCAGTGCCAAGCACTATGGTGCTGCAGAGACCTAGTTGTATGTCACATTTCCTCCTTTGCTTTCTCTTTTACTAGTGAAGGAGAGTACACTAGGCTTCCGATAATCCAGAATCTTTGTGACGTAATGGTGCCGGATTATCGGATATGCAGGACTATCAGGAGGTACTATAAACTGGTTATATATACAGTATAGTCTGTATATAAAGTGTTTTAACCCTTTTATTGTACATACTGTATATAGTATACTGTAATGTTTTAGTTTTTTAACCCTTTTTTACCCTTTTTGCTTGGTTCAGTTGCTGCCGCTGCTGCCTTGTGACTCATTTTTTGCCACACCTCACTCACTAGGCTCTTGCCATTTTGATGCCGGACTAGCGGGAATGCCAGACTATTGAAGTTTTACTGAAGTAACTTACTGCTGCTGACCTATACCAGAAACCGTATTACCACCCAGTCTGTTCTGGTTCAGTTCTTCTGCCTGGGAGAAGGTGGAGTCACCCTAGCACTTGCTCCATAGAAGCTATAAGCAGGTGAGTACCTCACTTACACTTGGCCATAAGAGTAGCAGCTTCTAAGCTGTTCTTAATTCCCTTGCAGGGACACCTAATCAAGTCACAGTCTAGCTGACCATTTATTTTTTATTTTAATGCTGTAGGTTAAAGGCATGATAATTAACATATTAATATGAATAGTTAAAAAAATCAATATATCTATCTCATGGAGCTGGAAGGGACCTTGAGAGGTCATCAAGTCCAGTTCCCTGCCTTCAAGTACCATCCTTGACAGATTTGCCCCAGAGCCCCAAATGCCCTCCCCCCCTCAAGGACTGAACTCACCACCAGGGGTTTAGCAGGCCAATGCTCAAACCACTGAACTACCCCTCCCCCTCGTTTGTGTAAGAATACACAGAAAAGAAATGGGCTGCAGACATGTCCTCTTGCCAGATTACTAGCAAGTGTTAGTTATCTTCAATAGCACAAATTACTTTGGGTATGTCTCGACTACAGGGTTTTTCCCAAAAAAGTGGCCTTTTTTTGAAAAAACTTCCCCTGCGTCTAGTCTGCTGTTGCATTCTTTCAAAAGGAAATCGAAAGAACGTGGCAGATTTTTCGACCGCAGAAAACCTCGTTTTACAAGGAAGAATGTCTTTTTTCGAAAGTGCTCTTTTGAAAAAAGGCGGTATGTAATGCAAACTGAGAGGCTGCCTGGGTGCTCTCTTTCGAAAAAGCAACTTGCTTTTTCAAAAGTACTGGTTGTATTCTAGACGCTCTTTTTCTAAAGAGGCTTTTTCGAACGATACTTTCGAAAGAGGCTTGCAGTCTAGACGTAGCCTACGATGCATCAGATTGACAGTCATTTTGCTAGCATGTGCTATATTCAAATGATCATCATTGCTGACTCTACTAAGATGTGTGATAGAAAGTCAAAATTGTAGTGTCAGTCATCTATATTACCACCGCTACAGTTGCTTTCTGCATTCATTTAAGCCCTTCCTCCACTCTTCTACTGTGGGAAATTTCACAGTAGAAGTACGCTTGAGGGATTTATGACACAAAGAAATCATTTTCCACAGTACAGGACACTACTGTCTGTCTACAGATTTTAAGTGCTGACCCCATGGAATGAGAGCTGATCAGAGACAGAAGTTTAAAGTTAAAGCTATGTAAAAAACAAACAAACACCCTTAGTACAGGAAGTAGCATTTCTTAGTACTAAATTCTGTGTGTGAAATCCTACAATCTTCCATGAGAATTTTGATTGAAAAATGATTACTGTGACAAAATGCTGAGTTACAACATTGCTTCCCTGTTGTTAAAGTTGGGGGGAAAAGATAAGAATAGTAAAATAGGAGAAAAAGCAAATTTTTGGAAAAATGAGGAGTTTTATTAAGATATTTATTATGTGTCTCTGTAAGGAAAAGACCAACAACCAGATAAAAGCTTACAAAGATGGTTAACCTTCAACACTACAAATGTGTTTGATAGAGGCTCTCAATTCTGCATCTTTATTGACTTTTACAGAGTGAAGGGAGAATGACCTCAAAAATAGTGTGCCCATCCTAATCTCTGACAGGAGACATTTACAATTGTTTTTAATCATTTAAAGCAAGTCAATAAACCTGGCTTGCAGATTTAGATGTGAAAAATACATTAGCACCATCACATTAGTCTTTTACACTTCCCTAATTGTAGTGGTCTCTACCAGCAATGACAGGAAATTATAGAAGTACGCTTGAAAACAGAATACCATAATTTTATTGTTGGATTGTAACAGTAGGGTGTTCAAGCTAATCAGTACAGAGAAAGACAATTGTATACCTAATAATTCCCTTTATTTAATTAATGGTTCCAATGTATTTTGGTTTGGCTGGTGTTTTGGTTTTTTTTTTAAACTTTTTGCTATGACTCATTAAACTCATCCCAGTTTCTGTCCATGTTGAGGTAGTTGAAACGGGGAAGTCTTTCTAGCTTTATGGACTGCGTCTTAGGGTAAACCTTGATGCTGGGAGCAATCAGTGCCGTGTAAATTGACTTTTATTCAACTAATGGAAGACAGTATTGTTTTGTTGAGTGTTGAAGTTTTATTATAGCACCACAGAACCATGTTTAGAAGATGGAATTTGGTTTAAAAAGCAAAAAGCATTTTTATTGTACTTTGTGCAATTAGAAACTATTAACTCTTGGTCAAATTGCATTTTTTCCCTCCAGAAATTTTGGAAATAAATAACTGGGATACAGTTGATCACCTATACCAGTTGACAAGGTTAAAACAAGAGGAGAGTGTGGATTTACTTGCTGGGAGTTTAGAAAAAGCAGTATCCTTGATTTTTACAAGAAACAGACTGGGCCAATGTCCACACCAAATTCCTGATCAGGGCCACCAATATCCATGGGAGCGATATCCACCACAGGCAACCGCATTGGCTTGCGTGTTCTGTATTCAAAGACTGTTTTACCCCATTCTCCAGTGTGACTCTGCAAAAATGAAAGACAAAAATTCATTTAGCACAATCTAGGATAGAGTTAATATAAAAGGAGATTATTTTACTTAATTTCACATCTGTTGTTCCTCATGTCCATGTTCCATACCTGCACCATTCAAAACCCTGCATTTCCCTAATCAGTCTCTTCTTGGAAAAGTGTATGTTTACAATAGCTCTTAATTGGTGTTCAAATTCTGGCCTAGATTTTCTGGTAGGCCATGGAGGGGGAAATCAGGAGATGGTTACAGCTCCCTGATACTCAGACCATGTCTCTGGCACACTTGATGTCTGTGTAGCATAGAGCAGTCAGGGCCACTGCAGTGTACCAGATTAGCAGTGAGAAATGCTCCCCAGCTTTGCCTAATTAGCACAGTGGTGGGCAACCTGCAGTCTGAGGGCTACCATGCAGCCCATTGGGGTTCTAGTGTGGCCCTCGAGACATTTTGTTGATAGTGGCCCATGTAAAGAATTGTCAGATTCTGCTGGTTTCCATCCACATAGTTTTTTCCCACTGGTATTACAATACTGACACGCATGTAAAGCAAGAGCATGTGAAGTGAGGTGCAGACTAATTGCACACAAAACTAACTGGGAGAACCATGTGCTCCTTCCGTATCCGTAAGCAAGCAGTTAGCAAAACAACCCTATCCTGGGAGAATGTTTTGGTTAGGACAATCTTGCAGCCCACTGAGATGAAGGAGGGCCATTCATGCAGCCCATTCACTAGCCTAGGTGGTCCTTCTCCGGTGTAAGATGATGTGCATTAGTTTCTGCTGTCTAAACACACTTGTGTTATTTCACATGAGCTGGCATGCTTGATCATAGCTGCCATTCACCACTTGCTGTCACCAGGTGCCTGAATGTTGCTATCCTAGGACCTGCCAGCACTGAGCATCCTGCCAAAAGATAGTGGGATTCCCTTCATTGTGACATTATACTGAATGATGTCAGTCCTGCCTCAAGTGAAGCCGTCAGTGAGTAGACTTCATGGCCTCAGTGTCCTCCAGCTATATGGGGGTGATAGAAAAGTGCTACCTAGAAACTTAGGCCAAAAAGGGAGGTGAAATGGTCTATAGATCATCACTATCTTAGTGCACTTCAGTGTGTAGCTTTCCTTCTATGTGAATTTTTGCATGGTTGTGACAATCTACCTTAATATTCAATTCTTAATTCACCAACAGCTCCACTTCAGATTGAATAGAATTAAGTATGGGCTGAGCTCAGAATTTCAGCACCCTGCCTTTGATGTAGGTTCCAAAAAGGGAGCCTCTAAAGGAAGACCTTTGTAAAGCACAATTTGTAATAGCACAATTACTCCACAAACAGTCCTGCTGTAAAGCAGTTTTTAGCAGGTGGCCTGTAGCCTGGGGCAGTGCAGAGGGCACTGTCCGAGAAGGTGGCATAGTGCCTATTCCTTAGTTGTTCTGGCAAAGCGTATGTTATACCTGTGAGAGGCTGAACAAATGAATTAACTCAATTAGCTCTTCCTATACCTATGCACCAGCACACGTTCCATCTGTTCCTCGTCCAACCTCACTCGCTTTCTGCTCAATTGCACTCAAGGTTCTGGAATGCATTGTCTGAGATATCTGAGCATCAGAGCTGCAACTGTGTCCATCCCTTGCAATGGGTGAGGGACTCTTGCCCCGTTCCTGTGTCCTGCATGGCTAGGATCCCATCTGGTTCTGTTCACTTACCGTACAACCATCTTCCAGAACGGCATATGTGAATTTGCTATTTCCTTCAGCCTTGAACTCAGTCTCAGTGGAGCTCATCAGTTTCAGAGCCTTCTTAACATTGCCACTGGCCTGATCCATGTAAGCAATGCTGTTCTTGCAGTGATAAGTGATATTCTGAGAGGCCCGGCTAGAGAGCATTCTAAGGAATGCCATCTGCACATCTGAAACATCTTCCGGGAGCTCTGGATCTCCATAGCTGAACTGTAGTACAACACATAAAACAATCTTTTTTTAACTGCTGATATATTTATTAATTAAGTAATATATGGAACTGATTTAATCTGCTGATGTGAATGAAATATAATAATTTCTCTCTAGGCTATTCATTGAGAAGATCTAATTTGTCTTACCTGGAAGCCACCATTCATAGATTCTCCAAACCAGATGTGTTTCTTTTCATCTCCTGAACTTGTCCACCAATTTTTATGTGGCACACTCCTGGGATTAGCATTGATGCACGTCTCACCACTTTCCATATTACAGTATACTTTTACAGCATCCATCTTGCAACCTTGGTTAGGATCAATCCAGTACTCTCCTAAAGGAACATAAAATAGCAGAAGGGCCAGAGGATCAGGAGAGGAGTTTGATTATTTTACCCATATGTTCTACAGCTCATGTGAGTCTCAAATACTGGCATTGAGAAAAAGGTATAGAATTTTGAATTAAGACAAGCCAGAAGAAGAATTAATATGGCACAAAGAGAGACTGATTTCATTCAAATGCTCTAAAATGAGGAGAGAAATAAGCTAGACAACTCCTAGCTTTCTTTAAAGTGTGTTATTTATGGTCCACAGCCAGCAAAAGGTTTAAATAGATATTTAAGCATCTGAGAAGTCTCCTTGAAGTCAATGGACTTATTTAAATATTAGATTTATACTAATTACTTTGTTCTCATTCAGGGCCTGATTTGCCCTGCTGTGGCTTTGGGCCTGAGCAAATTCCACTGAAACCAATAGGAATCTTTCCACAGATTTCTGAGGCCCTTAGTTACTAATGATGATGTTCAAGAAAGAGAACCAGGATGGATGTTCAGATTTCAGCTTTGCTTTGTGGTGCTGGCCATTAGAAAGCCAGTCTTTTATTGACATAGGAGAAGCCCAGCCATGACAATGTACAGAGTACATTTAGAGTACAATCACACTGCAAAAGAACAACAGAAGAGCCTGGTGGAGTTACCAACATGGCAAACAAAAAATGGAACATACCGCTCTTAAGTTCGGGGTGGCAGAATTTCAGGTCTCTGCAGTTACGAGCTGGGTTCTTGCGGGACCCATCAGGGCTAATGATGTTTTCTATTTGGCTGTTAATCGATTTCATTGAAGATAAGATGTCATTCATATTGACCTTGTTTTCAGATGGCTGGTCTCCATAGAACGATGGTCCTTTTTCACCAGTTAGAGTACCTACCCCCCCAGAGTAGTCACCTCCCCCACAGCATGGACCAGGAGCACCAGGAGGACCAGGGGGACCTGGAGAACCTGGGTGGCCAGGAGAACCCTAAGAAATAAAGAACAAAAGGATGAATAAGGGTTGCAGGCTCAGACTTATGTCCGTACAAGTACAGTAAGGACCATAAATATAAAGATCAGGAAAATGCTAGTTCCAGAAAAAAACTTCATTGTTTTCACTTAGCTCAACTGCTAGCCTTTCTGGGACTGGTTTGGCCCATCTTCTTCTGTGTCAAATTGTGGGAACCCTTTCTCAAGTTGAGTTGTCAAGCTGAAGAAGATGCTGGGAGCCCTTGCATTCAAGTACATGGAGCAGCTACAATATGACCAAAGAACTAAGGGTATGTCTACACTACAAAGTTAATTCGAACTAACAGCCGTTAGTTCGAATTAACTTTCATAGGCGCTACACAGGCAAACCGCTAGTTTGAACTTAATTCGAACTAGCGGAGCACTTAATTCGAACTAGGTAAACCTCATTCTACGAGGACTAATGCCTAGTTCGAATTAAGTAGTTCGAATTAAGGGCTGTGTAGCCACTTAATTCGAACTAGTGGGAGGCTAGCCCTTCCCAGCTTGCCCTGGTGGCCACTCTGGGCACCACCAGGGAAACTCATCTGCCCCCTTCCCGGCCCCGGAGCCCTTAAAGGGGTACGGTCTGGCTAGGGTGCCCGTGCCAGGTGCAAGCCACCAGCACCCAGCCAGCAGACCCTGCATCTGGCATGACACGAGCCAGCCACCCGCTGCCACCCAGCCCTTCGCCTCTTCCAGGGACCAGGCTGGG